ATCGACTACCTGAATTCGATTGATCGATCTGGGCTGCAAATTGAGAACTTTAATAAAAGCTATTTGAGAAAAAAAAAGAAGGATTGGTACCAGAAAAACAACAGCAATTTCGTTGAAAATAATCTGATATTGCTGCGGGTTTGATCGAGGCAATTTCGATACCATCTCATTTCCAAGTTTGATTGCTCAGGATTTTGATTCCAGCTCTACCAAAAATGGATTAAAAAAAATGTATTCAAATCGTTTGTGTTTCTTTTTTTTTTTTTTAGCTCGCCAATGCCAGCTAAATGCAATGGACACGGTGGGAATGCAGCCTTATTGACCATACAAAGCACAATAATTGTGTGCAAACTGCCATAAACTATAGCAGGGTCAGTGACCTTTTCAACATTAAGTGGATATTTACAAATATTAGACAACTTGCGTGTCAGTAACATTTCAGATCTCAGATTAGCCCCAATTCCTCTACCTTCAGACCTCAGATCAGCCCCATTTCCTGCACCTTCAGATCAGTCCCAATTCTGGCGCCTTCCGATTTCAGATCAGCTCTAATTCCTGCACCTGCAGACCTTGGATCAGTCCCAATTCCTGCATCTTCAGACCACAGATCAGCCCCAAGCACTGTTAATTCAGACCTGAGATCACCTCTAATTCCTGCACCTTCGATCAGCCCCAATTCCTGCACCTTCAGATCACATTTTATCCACAATTCTTGCACGTTCAGTCCTTAGATCAGACCCAATTCATCCACTTTTATACCTCAGATCAGACCTCAATCCTGAACCATAAAAAACACAGGACCTTTAAAAGTATAGCTTTGGGCACATGCTATAACTGGAAGGAGGGTCACCCCCTGAACATCAGGGAGATGGGTTGGCCGTAGGTGCAGAAGGGTAGGACAGGTTTGTAATTGACATCTTAATGAGCTGTCAATTAAAGCCTTTCACAGCAGTGCTTCTGTTTTCCGCTTTCCTCTCAGCCATGCTTGTTGACCCCAGATGTATATCAACCAGATTTCAGACCAATGAAAGATAAAATTCTAGGGATGCACAGACACTTTTCGAGTACCAGTGCAGATACTTGGCATTTTCATGAGAACTACCGGGGTTGCAGCGGTTGCAGCTGGGACCTGGCTCTGGCGCTCCACCACTACTGTCCTGAAATCATTAGTCTGTATTGTTTTAGAAAAACTGTCACATGACAATAAACAAAAATGTATCAGTACTCGTACTTGTAGGTACTTGACAAGTACCAGAACTTGTACTCACAAAACTGGTATCTGTGCATCCCTTTATTTATCTTTATAAAAACAAAATCGTACATTAAAAACAGAGATGTACAAATCCCATGAGCTCCGTGTGCTCCTTACAAATGACCGCTGCCTCCTAACTTTTGATTTTTTTTCTAGTGTAGTCTTGGAGCTCAAAAGTATCGGTACATGTACTCGTACTTGTACCAAGTACTGTACTTGGTATCTGTGCAACCCTAATAAATTCTAACTAGTTAGTATGAGTTACTGAACACTCCTTTTACTATATAAATCCATTATCATTCAGAAAATGATAGGCCCACCCGAAAAATATATTTCCGCTATAGATCAAGTCTAGTGGGCTAAATCACCTCTTGGGAACTCCAGCAAATACCCCAATTATTCTTTAAGCTCTGGTCCTGCTGAACTTGGAGGCTCATTCATTCAGCTGGCTGGGGCGTTCCCACTTCTGCCATTGCAGTCGCAAGAACACTAAAAAAAAAAGTTTAAAAAGAGTGGGGATGGACCAACTCATTAAAACCAGAGCATGTTACTGAAGGGAAGCGATCTCACCACCAGATCCCTGGAGGTACATGTTTTATTTCCCAGGATCTACCAAACCCTGAAGTATCAGAATGACCCTCTGGACAATGATAAAGAAAGAAAGGTGTTATGTGTACACGTGTATTGAGCAATACAGGACAAAGTTCCCAGCAATATAAAAAATTTAAAAAAAGCATACGTCAGAAATGAAGAATAAAATAAGGAACACAGTCAACGATCACTTACATAAATCAACAGCTGATTAGCCCTCCACAGACATAAGAGAGATATGACAGAGCAAAACATTAACCGACCAGAAATACAGAACACACAAATAGTGGCTGCCTACAAGGCTTACTCAACAGAGAATGTGGAGTTAAAGGAGAACTATGGGGTCAGGGCTTTTCATCATAGTTCTCCTTAGGGTCACGGGACAACACAAAACTAGCGTCCTCCCGTGACCCAAAGCTCAGTATACGGCGAGCTACAGATCGCCGTATACTGAGACACCGCTGCCGGAACGGATCCCGACATTGCTGTCGAGATCCACCCAGCTGTGGGATTGACAGCTGGCTCTGCCTATCTAGAGGCAGAGCCAGCTGTGCCCGCCTCCTCCCCAGTCAGTTCCACCAGTTAGCGCTGGAGGATCGGAGCGGGGGGGTGGGGGGATCCCTGCAGGGAGCCGTGAGTGACAGTCACGGCTCTCTGCAGGGATAGATTGAGCGACGGTATGTGGTCACTCACTTCCCGATCTACTGAGCCGACGTGTGACAGTTTCATTGTCACAGGTCGGCTCAGATTATGAGGCCGAGTGAAAATCTCTCCTTTAATTCCTTTACTCTGTGCACTATAATAACAGCAATATCGGATTGGTTGCTGGAGCATTCTGAACATTTAACACTACAGCTGCGCTTTGCTTATAAACGAGCCAGTCATTATGTGAAAATGTGTGTCAAACCTTAATATTTCATTGGCAGTTACATCAGCTGACATGGGTACTTAACTTGTTTGCTGCTTTGCCTTCTTAAGCTTAAGCTTTGCTTTCTTCTCAATTCCGCATCTCTGAAGATCTTTGCCCCATGTTTCTGAAAGAGAAGGGTGGCTCTCTTCTCTTTCAGGTTCCTATGGAGCCACCCTTGTGAGCACACTCCCATGAGCCTACATTAGCAAACTGCTCCGCTATGCATGGAGAGCCTGAGAGGACTAGATGGGGTGCGCATGCAAGGTGACACCATGAATCGTGAAACATGTAGTCTCGTGGATGAAGATCAGTGGACACCATATGAAGTTATGGATGCGTGCTCTCCGACTGAAAGTTCAGAAAAGCGACACAAAAGGAACCTGGAGGCTGGGCCTATTAAGTGCACAATTTGTAAGTGTTCAGCACTATTCCTAAATTGAATATTTATTGATCTCTGCTCAGAATATGACGCTTTGGTACTGCTTTAATCAAACTTGTTCATTTAGAGTGGGGGTTTCAAAACTATGGCTTGGAGGCCACATCTGTCCTTGTACAGTACAAGGTTTTAGCTGGCCCAGGATGTGCTGGTCTGTGTATTGTAATATGGAGACTGTACATCCACTGCCAGCCAGCTGGGCCCCTCCCCCAATCTCCAGCGTACATCCCCTACCTACACTGAGGTTAGCTGCTAGGACCGCTGGCATTCTAGCAACCAAATACATGATTGCCCAGCCCACAGCATTTACAAGAGGACCAGACTTGCTCCACCTCCTGCTCTGCCAAGGGGGGGAGGACACTCTGATAGGCACTCCTGGGTACAAGGGGGTGTGCTCCTGGGCAATCCTGGATGTAGGGAGGTATGCTGCTTGGCAATCCTGGATGTAGGGGGGTACTGCTGGGCAATCCTGGATGCAAAGAGAAGGGGGTGCTGCTGGGCACTCATGGGTGTAAGGCGGAAACCTGGATGGGCACTCCTAGATGGAAGCATAAAATGGATGGGCACTCCTGGATGTAAGAAGGAACTTGGATGGGCACTCCTGGATGTAAGAAGGAACTTGGATGGGCACTCTTGGATGTAAGAAGGAACTTGGATGGGCACTCCTGGATGTAAGAAGGAACCTGGATGGGCATTCATGGGTGTAAGGTGGAACCTGGATGGGCACTCCTAGATGGAAGCATAAAATGGATGGGCACTCCTGGATGTAAGAAGGAACTTGGATGGGCACTCCTGGATATAAGAAGGGACTTGCATGGGCACTCCTGGATATAAGAAGGGACTTGCATGGGCACTCCTGGATGTAAGAAGGGACTTGGATGGGCACTCCTGGATGTAAGAAGGGACTTGGATGGGCACTCCTGGATGTAAGAAGGGACTTGGATGGGCACTCCTGGAAGGACTATTACATTCATTTAAATGGTATTCGTTCATTTCGAAAAAAATCAATATTTTTATGAGACCCTGCAAATATTTTAAAACATGTAATGGGGCGCTCATGCTGAAAAGTTTGGGGACCCCTGATTTAAAGCAAATTACAAAAACTAAGAACCAATGAGCACTGCACGTTCCCCAAACTGGCCACAGTGAAACCCAATTGACTACCATTGGGCTACAGCACTTTGCACATCATCCGTGCTCTTTGAACTGTTTTAATGCAAATCCTGGAACAACGATACAGAAGTAGGGGAGCAGCTAACAAGGAGAGATGATAAACAGACACATACAGACATAAAACACCTGGACTAACACAAATCAATCCCATTCCACGTTCAGGCATCACTCACAGAAATTGATGAAATGAAAGCTGTGTGATTTGAAATTCGGTTGCCCCTAGTAACAAAGACGCGGACTGCAACAAGGGTTTTGAGGGTCATTTCAAGTACATAGCAATCACAAATGCTCCATTTTCACCGGCTAACCGAGAGACACAACTATCATCTCTAAGCTTTTAAATCAATGACAATAAGCAGAGGCAGCGTGCAAGGTTATTCGGTGAGGCAAGGTCAAGGTGGATTTCCTCAATTTGCCCCGTAGCCTGCATTAGACATACACAGCCAATGATGGATACGTACCCGGGGGCACATTACAAATACAGAGATCTGAGCTGGTTTGAGTAGAACGGAACGTTAGATAAACACAAGTACCGTAATAGCCAAGAGAATTCACATTGTCATTCAGCAGATTTCTGACAAGAGGAGGAGGAAGAGGAAGGGGGGGGGGGTGTTTAAAGTATAATGAACAAGGCTTACCGTGTACTCCATGGTCCCCTTTGGCTTCTGGAAGGACATCCGTCGCCCATCTTTCTTCTCGAGGGTCTTTTTCTGCCCGGTATCTGAAGGGTAATGAGGATAGGTACGCATTAGATTCATGTTCCTCCTTCAGGATTGTCACAGGCTGTTGGGTAGCACACGGTTGCTGCAAGACATTCTATTTCACCAGTTACAAGGCTCTCTCTGGAACCGGAGGAGAAATCAGTCTAACTGAAACCCAGCTGCCTGCGTTTTTTTTTTTTTTTTCCTTTGCTCCTCTTTAACCAATATAAACTACTGTGACAAGTGTGATACATTAGCCTGGGCTGAGCTTCCTATTATCTGGAATAAAGGAGAGCCCTAACGATTAGGAGGCGCTTATGCATCTTCTATCAAACGTGCATTTAAAAACACGCTTAATAGACATACTTTATAATTGATTGAAACCAAAGAGACCACAGTATTACAGGGACCGTCTGCGGCATGAGGACAGAATTGCAAATCAAGTCAGCAGTCAGCTTATTGATATCCGGGCTGAAAACTTTTCCGTAGTTGCTAATGGCCGTCGAGCAAAGTGCAACTTAGGGCACACTTGGCGCATAAAACCCTCCCGCCTCCCATCAGAGTTTCTCATTAGGGACTGCTAATATGCTATTTACCATCTCCTAACCAGACACCACAAAAATGTAATGTCTACAAGGAAACCTGCACTCAAATATGTAGGTCTGCCTAAGCTGACCCCCTCCTGAAAATGCTAGCTGTCTGGCTGTCTCAGACTACCATATTTTAAGTCATTCAAGCAGTCAGTGATGGAAAATATGTTGTAAACACTGTGGTATTGACCATTATCAATGCATATATAAAAATGATAAAAGAATACAAGATACGAAGAGGGGAATTTATCAAAACTGGGAGCAGAAAAAAAAATCTGGAGCAGTTGCCCATGGCAACCAGTCAGCTTCTCTCTTCAGTTCGTTTAGTTAAGATTTGAAAATGAATGAGATGAGCTGATTGGATGCTGTGCGCATCTGCTCCAGATTTTGATAAATTCCCCTCACTGTGTATTATTAAAATGATTATACAAAAATAAGATAAGCTTTGGTATTAAACTCTGCAAAAAAATGTGTGGGGGCTTTTATGGTGCTAGCTTCACTTGTTGGTAGGCAACCTGGCTCCCTAACTAATCAGGAAGCTGGGTAACACGTCATGTCTCACGTCCCGGTTTTCTGATTGGTCGGGAAGCCACGCAGCCTAGAAACAAGTGAAGTCGGCTTCCTAGCCAATCAGGAAGCCGGTAGGCGTGTCATGACGTGCCGCCTAGCTTCCCGATTGGCTAGAAAGCTGGCTTCACTTACTGTTAGTTCACACCAGAAACTGCATCACAACTGCGTGCAGTTGCATTGCAATCCGTTTTGATGCGTTTGTGATGCATTTTTTCCCCCCTGCATGTCCCTGGATGATGCCACAATCAATTCTGTTTTTTTTTAATGAATTCATTTGCGTTTTGATGCGTTTGCACTGCGTTTTGATGCGTTTAGTGCAGTTAGATGCAGGTAAAATAGGACAAGCAGTACTTTTTCTATCTGCAGTTGAACCGACTGCAATGGTGTGAATTAGGCACCAGAAAACCCATAGGAAAGCATTGTGATGTATTTTGACTGCAGCAGTCAAAATAAACTGGCTGCATCACAAGTGCATATGGTGTGAACTGGCCCTAAGGCAGCCTGGATTCCTGACCAATCGGGAAGTCAGACGGCACCTCATGATTCACCACCCGGCTTCCTGATTGGTCAGGAAGCCAGGCAGCCTCTAAAGCCAGGCCTCTTTGGCTAGAACACTGGCTTCAAAGGCAATGGGGAAGCGGGGCGACGGGTCATCGTGATCCACCGCACGACTTCCTGATAATCGGGGCACAAGGCTCTGGTACTCAGTATCGGTGAGTACCGGAAACACGGTATCAGTGCATCCCTGATTAAAATATCAATAGGACATCCATAAAATAATGTGTGCATGAAAGCATTGTCAGATCCAATCATTATAATAGAAGCATGTCGAAGAATTTGCGAGTATCACATATAAATGACGGTCCTTGACTTCTCTTTTTCAGTCTTTTTCCTTCTTGTGGCCCACAGTGGCTAGGGAATGGTTCTACGCATTTTGCCATTAGGATTCTTCCGGAACCTGAATTGGGTCTGAATTAGGCAAGCCATGACAAAGGATCTTACAGCAGCCTTCCAAAACCAAAAGAAGAGATCTAAAAGAGTAGTCTCTAGCACCTTAAAAAGCCCCCACAAATAAAAAAAGTTTTGTAGAGTAGAGTTTTGAAATATATGTGGTGTGGCGCAAGAATTTGTCCCTCTGTAATACCCAATAGTTGTTGTATTAGCAATATATGAGGGAGAGAGGCTGCAGGGACTGGCCTGGCAGCCAGGAAGGACCAAGGTTCGGGTGAGTATATCCTCATTTTACACGCTAAGACTAAAACATGCACTCAACCATTTAGGTATGGCTACCTCTGCACTGCGCCGGAGTTCTTCTTTAATTCTGTGTTATTTTGGTACAAAGCAATGATCGACCTAACCTCACCTACATACTTTATTTTCATATAGTGATGCTGGAGACTCTGTGGGTAAATATTTGCATGTTCATCATGAAAATATTTACAAAAAGGGAAACCAGACATGGGCAGATCATCCCCCTCCAGATCCTGCATTCCCAGCACAGCCCCAGCATATCCTGACACCAGCTGAAGCTGCATTACTGGTAAATGAATTGCTTCATTCAGTGGAGAATGACACAGCTTGAGGCTTAGTGGCAAGTGGGGAAGCTTAGAACACACAATCCAATCCTTGTTTCTCTAAATCATCCAACTGCTGAAAACTGGTTCATAAAATACATTCATATATCATGTAGTATCATGGGACGAGCTGCAATACCAGATTCCGCCAGCTGGTGGTACTAATAAGCAGTTCTTCAGGTCAGCCAATAATCCAGCAAATGATGAAGGATCAGAACGTACAACGACTTCGTGCCACTTTTTGGGTCACTTAGTTTTAGATGAAGCTTAAAAAATTCTGTCTTTCTTTGAGAGTTTCTGTCCCCTTCCAAAGCCTAGCACACATCAGATTTGAACAGAAATCTCCCTGAGAGGAACTGCAATAAGAGCACCTTGGCTGGAGGTGTACTTTAACTACAAATCCAATTTGAAAGCTTTTAAAGCAAGTGCTTTAAGTAGATCGTACTTTCAGGAAAAAAGGATATGAAAAGATTTTGCATGGGGACAATATAGCCCCAGAGAAAGGTTCTGTGTCTGGACCCCTGCCAATCAGCTATGTAAAACGGACTGCTGTGGATGCAAGTATAGATGGTCATCTTGCCTTGGCTTACAAGGCCAACACAGAGTGCCTTAAAAAAAAAAATCATGGGTTTCCAGCAGGCATTGGATCTACTTTCT